TATGAGTGAAGTTTGAACTTAATCGGTCCATGCATGTTCGAGATACAGGTGATCACGGACTCACAAACGCACGGACGCACACAGGGCAAAACACAAGTCCCCGTTTTCGGACTACGTCCGAACGTGGACTAAAAAGTTAACATGAATGGTTTGAAGGGATATGCTTGTACTCTGAAACTTCAACTATGCATATAATAATAAGAATACAGCTAATTATGCTTGTTCAGGGGCCTACCATTAGCATAATATCTCAAAATCAGTCCAAAAAAAATCTTTGGGTAAATGGCAAAATGTGTAAAACTTGGTTAGCTATTTAGTAGTGGTCAATTGGTCATTTCAAAATATACAGATGTTGGTCATTATGCATTGGTCAAAAGGTACAGACCTGACCGTATTATATATAAAGACCATTAAAAAAACATATGGAGCTTAGAGTTGAATCAGACTGGAGCCGAAGTATTGACCATAAAATTCCTTAACTTTGTTATAATTCCCAAAGGCATGTTGTTTTGGGGTTCAGAAAATCCACTTAAATTGAACTCCACTTCATAGATGTTTATCTATCTTTATCCCCGACACACAACTTTTCTGTTTCTCAAGTGAGTAGTGGTGTTGCTGTCATGCTAATTTGCAGTACTCAGTAAGTGATGTGGTTTTTTGAGGGACTTACTGAAGACTGGTATGTGTAATCTCCTCAAAGCTGCTGCATAGTTTTATTATCAATTCTAAAGCCTGTCATTCTGATTCCATCATAGGGACAGACCTCCTGGGTCTACTAAGTACATAATTGTCACACAGGATTTGCTCTATATTACAAGCAAATCCAAGCACACTTAAAACAATAACTGCATTGTATACTAATCATTAAATAAAATATCCTGTATTTTGACACACCTCTGTCATTTACGTAAGGCAAATACCGGTAATGTACCATCAATACTGAAGCCCTGGACGTGACTGGAGCAACATATAAAGATATGATGATGAAGAAGCCTCCGCCTACAATTCCTTTGTAATATACAGGAACATACTGAATGTCTTGTGTATTACTATTAAAATCCCCATAAACAGACATGTAAAAACTTGAAGGCTATTTTATTTACACAAACAGCCAATGACTAAAATGCAAATGTTATGCAAATTAGTATGTAAATTGTTACCTCCACAGTTTTTTTAGCACTACACAAATTTTACCGAACATCATTTTTCAAACAGCTATCAGCGAATTGTATATATGGCACAAAACATGTAAACAAAACTCCTAAATTTAACAACTATATGTTTATATAAGTTTATATGCTGTGTACAAATAGTGAACTTTACACAAGTTCCTCATCCTTTGTTCCCAACACAACCGTACAACATTGTCAATGTTACCAGTCGTCCTTATAGTTGTTTCCTGTAATCGCACTAAAAGCCACAACAATTGATTCTAAAATTGCATCGCACTTCTATGAGATGAACCTACTTTACATTCTTAGAGACTAATCACATTAAATCTAACTCTTTATCCTGTGATTGTAGTCGACAAAATGTTTCTAATTCATCTTAAATTGTTCAAAATGGGTGGTCTAGGGGCAAATTGTCTTTTTATTTAAATGTCTCTTACTTCTCAGACAATGTAAAGACGTACACAGGGTGTATCTTGTAGGGAACTGAAATATGGTGATACTTATGGCTTATGTATCACAATATGCGGGCTGAAAAGTATATTTTTATTAATAATATTTGGATGGATGGATGGATGGAAACTTTCTCTCCAATTTTGTTATTTGTGTCTCTGGTAAAGTGGCATAAATATTTTATATTTGAAGTAAAGAGAACCACATTCAAGCAGTCACATAAACTTTCACAGGAGACAATCATTTTTGTGAATTCAGAAAAAAAAATTGGCAAATGTTTTAGAAGGCACATTTCATTTGGTTTCTTTTGAAGGAGAGAAACTTTCTTGAAATTAAGTCCCTTAGAATACCAACAAATAATATAGTTAGGAAAAATTTGCATGGGAATTATCACTAGGTTTATTTAGACAGAGTCACAGTGACTACGAAAACGGAAAACGACGAAGATTTCAAGCATGATAACAAATGTTTAATGGTTTACACAACTTGCCTGACTGCAACCAAGAGTGTTTATTCTATGTCGTACTGGTGTTCTGTGATGAAATGAAAGCTAGGGAAGACTCAATCAGAAATAAATATAATTCATACTCACCAACCCATTACATGTACTGATAGCTACCGTTGTATTTTTATGAGATAGAAGTCTACCACGATAAAAACAATGTTCTGTTATATCCAACTCTGTGGTGTATGTACTTTCTTTTCGTCGCCACTGTAATGACAATCCCGGTGTTATAAGTTTTTCATTTGGTTCTAATTGTAAGCGAAAGTCTTGTCCATAACCTGATACACTGTAGTGAATTTGTTCTACGTTCTCGGTATTATCTCTCTTAGATCTATGAGGCCATAAGTTATGAGATAAGTATTCTCCATGCTCATCAATTTGTACCGGTATCACCATTTCATACACTGTAAAAAAAATATAATATATATAAGTATAATTTTTGTATAGAAATTTGAAATTATCCAAACATCAATTATACAAATTATCCATAAATCAATTATACAAATGTATAATTATCTAAATATCAATTATACAAATTTCAAAGTATCCAATTAACAATTATACACAATTCAAATTAACAAAAAATCTATTATACAAATTTCTAATTATCCAGACACCAATTATACAAATGTCTAATTATCCAAACATCAATTATACAAATTTCTAATTACCCAAAAATCAATTATACAAATTTTAAAGTATCCAATTAACAATTATACACGTTTCAAATTATCAAAACATCAATTATGCAAATTTCTAATTATTCAAAAATTAACTATACAAATTACTGATTGATCAAACATAAATTATACAAATTTCAAACTATCCAATTAATAATTATACAAATTTCTAATTATAAAAATTGCAAACTACCCAATCAGTTCTACAAATCTTCTATTATCTTAATATCAACTACCTCGGTATAAAAATTTCTAATTATTTGAAAATCAATTACACAAATTTTAAATTACCCTAATATCAATTATACAAATTTCAAATTATGTAACTACTTTTTATGTCCCCATTAATGATTTATCCATAAATCTATCTAATCAATTATATGAATAATTGTATCTCAGTCCCAGGCATTGGGACAATTGACGTTTAACTGTAAATGTACAAGAACCACAAGTTTGTATCTAGCATGGTGTTCAAGTCTCACAAGACCAAGTGTCTAGGGAATAAATGCAACCAAACAACCATGCAAACCAACTGTGCATAAAGAAAAACACCCTTTGTTACTCACAAAGAAAAGAGGTTAAACTAAAAACAAAGTTGACAAATGCACATTCAGTTTTATATTCAATCGGCCGAAAAGCCAATCTGGATTTGTCAGATCGTAAGATAAATCGTTCACACCATGTAAACTCTGAGAGGAAATTTTAACAAGTAATTTGTATGATATCCGCTAAATACAAAGACTTGAGAAAGTTGAATTAGCATTTGAGAAATTAAAGAGGCCACCCACTACAGTCATAATGGAATACTACATTCAGTCTAGTTATTAATGAGTATCTAAACACCCATTAGAGAAAACTTTTAATTATTCTCCAACAGATACGTAATTCCAGAGAAACCGACACTCACAGTTAGGACTCTTGGACAATAGCTTTACAGTTACCCCTTAGAAGGTATGGTTACCTGTAATCCATTTCATTGAACTTTTTCATTGAAAGTTTTGTAATTATTGCTAAAATGCTGGAAATAGACAGCATTATACAGGAAATAGACACCATTATACAGTATTAGAATTTCACTTTTAGCTATACTGAGGATGCAAAGCGAAATATGCAAGACTACAGTGTTTTTTTACTAATCTTGAAATCTGCTGGGAGGCGTCCACACTATTCTGTTATATATTAAAACTACATACTGTAAAATACTTTATTTTCACTTGGAATTAATTTTTGCTGAAGTAATGATTCAGTGAAAATAAAATCCAGCGAATATACCTTTTTCTCTATATTTTACATCCAACTTGTCAAAAATCAGTGAAAATAAATTCCATACAAAACACCCAAAGTCTTTTCAGTGAAAATAAATTCCCGCTAAAATAAAGTATTTCACAGTAGCTAATATATGCAAAACAAAGTGTATCATCATCTGAATGTTAAAAACATACTATTGTTGTGTTTTATTTATCTACACACACTCATAAACTACGCAATGAATAGAGATAAATAAACTATCCGACTTCACGCTTTCTGCTTATCTTTTTTTAACTCTGCAGTTTAAATGCCTGCATAAAATGGGTCAGTCGGTCTGTCTGGTGGACCATGTCCTACACTACACATCTAATCAGTGGATTTGTTTTTTAATCACCATCTGTACTGCCTGTGGCTTACAAACCACAGTCAAACATGCAGACATTCGAAAGTTAGTTAAACTGAAGGCCGTATGAAAGATGAAACACGCTTACCTGGTTCTTCTGTGATGCCGTTTCCGGCGCTTGCAGACGACGCGTGACCCAGGAAGCTCTATAAAATAAATAAACAGACCACATTTGTTTTGAGTACGTTTCAGTGAGTTGTCTGAAATACAAAATCGTTAATGCGGCGGCCCCAGTATCTTCGTGGAAATGAATAGACAGTTGTGGGATTGAGAAAAAAAAACTTTGGCCGTTGCTAAACACCCAGGCGTAATTTAAAATCGCTTACAATCGTTTTAAACACACACTCCAAAGATTTTGTTGCGATAAACATGCCCAGTAAAGAGTCACGCGAGTAATTAATCAGTGCGGTTGGACCATAGCCCAACTACATACTAACTTTGTTCTCAAGTGAGTCCACAAACAATTATCACATTATTATTAGTTTGTAGAACTTGAAAAAGGCAATGTTTCAGATTACGTGACCTGGGCAAACCGGACACCCCGTCTCTTAAACGGACAGGAACTGAGAATGGCCCGCTTGAATGAGTCGGAAAGTAGCAGTATTGAAAATAATACAGTAAAACGTGCCTGTAGACGATGTTCTGCGTTTGTGGACACAATAGTGAGGAAAATGATGAGATGAACACCTAGAAGGCAACGAACTGGTCCTTTTATCGGCATATTGTCATCATAGGCTAGTAGTCACAGTTGCAATAATGTATCACTCCCAGAGGAACACACGTTCAATTAATATCTACGTTTGAGATGTAGAAACAAAAATCTCCACTGCATGAAAAGGTGCCAAACTATGCTGTATCACCGACAGGGACACATTGTAATCCTGTGTTCAGTGGGAGATGGTTGAATAACTCGTGGTAAAAGTTTATCGACTAATCGGCAAGCGCTTAACGGGAACCAGCGGTATTTACAAACACCAAACTTCAATGAAGACGAGACTTCGGTATCTGGAGTAAAAAGTTAAACATTTGGACTGTTGGGCATCTGCCAATGTACAATAGAAACTGCTGTTCCGTGGCTATTACGATCCAAACCCCAGTGCCAAGTCACGACTTTAACGCATCCAGTTGGCTAAATAGTCAGTGACTGTTGTTGCGTAGCTTCAGCTAAATTTCCAAATCACCGTCTTGACCGAAGGATAAAAGTTTTCTACACTACATGCAATCAGCGACAACTTTCGAGTTAGGCTCCTGCGCGTTGCATAGCAATGCTGACATCGCGTGTGGACTACAGCAATGAGCTCGACAGATTGGAAGCACCAAATAGTCGGACACTCAATGCGTGACGCCATACGCCATGTGGTGGCGTTGTTTGATATTTTCCGTAACAGAGCTATACATTCACAAAACGATACGAATAGTATAGTATTTAGTATGTTAATAGTTTAATATGATATGTGTCTGAGCTAATAACACAATTATCTATTGTGTGTATTATAAGACATGAGATCCGAGAAAAAAAAAATCTGTCGAATTTTGTTTCACGTGTGATACTGATAGGACCATATCAATTCGTCGCACATATTGCTGGGGTAATAAATATAATGGTACGTTTTTGTCATCAACTTCTGACCTCCCCGACACTTTTCTCCATCAAATGCCGGGGCAGTTTATATAGCTACGATAATTTCCAGCGCCCACGTGTCATTAGCGATAAAATTAGGGTGTTACAAGTATCAGAGACGTGGTTCGAGATGTGATGTAAACGAACACGAACACGTGTACCGTTTGCAATGCGTCCGTGGGGTAAGTAAAACGTATACTTGGAGGAAGGGCATTTAAGGAAACAATGCACACAACATTTTGTAACCCGTTTTTAGCATTCTGGGGGATATATCGTGTTATTAAATTATTGCCATTTTAGACTGTTCAATTAATTACTTTTCACGAACGAAACTGTGAATAAATAATTCCAGTTCATCCAAGAATACTTATAACTGCGAATGAATGATCTGTTATTGTCTCAAAACGATTGGCGACCGTGACGGGTGCTTGTCGACCATACAGTATATGACTACTTTTTGCAACAAATAGGCGTTCGTTAGAAACGACCGTCTTTATTAAACACTTTTCCCATTCATTCAATTTCTTCAAAGGAATATACTAGTACTTCTTATACACATAATTGTCGGAGATTGAAATGCATTTGTTAAGGGTGTTGATAAACACGTGTTAACAACGGGCATATGGTAATCGGAATTCATACAACTTTAATAAAATTCCAGAACTTCTTTTATCAATTTTCCATGACATTTCCTCATCACAACTTTGAACATTTTACGGGAGTGTTAAACCAAATTGCGACAGGAATAGTTTGTTATATTAACCATCCTTATGATTCAATTCTTCAGTTTACATTTCAACACAGGGAGTAGGACAAACAAACAAAGATCAGTGATTACTTGAAATCGATACCAGGAAGCGGGGGGGGGGGGGTTAAAAGAAAGGTTATATAACATTTTATTATTAAATAATTTATTAAAATACATAAGTTTGTCCAATTCCATGTGATTTCAATAGACAACTTTTCAACACTGATGGCTTTGCATGCCGAGTATTCATTTTTCATGATTTTTCAATATTCGAAGGCATCTTTCACTTTTCAAATTCCAGAAATTTCCAATATATTCCAGGCTTGTATGGACTCCCCCCCACCACCACCACCACCACCACCAAATGGTGCATATTTATCTATTTGCAGAACATGGCACAATATTTAGATATACTATTCAGCTCCAGTGGCCGCATACTCAGTTTCACATTCCTCAAACTATTTTGTTTTCCCTCCTCTCAATTGGCACTGGGTGATAGGTTTGTAGATGTAAATCAGAACAAGGTGCTGATAAGCTGTGGTGGGAAATCCAAACATTGAAGTCAGGACTTACAAGGTTAAATCAAACCTCATACTAAGGTAGTTTACATTACTGTTTAAAATAAACACATCTTATTCCTTCCTGACAGCAATATACTAGTAGTAAGTATTGACAATTTTATTGTGCTTGATCAACATTTTGGAAAATGTGGGTACTGTAAAGCCATTTATTTTCACTGACATTTAATTTCACTATTTTGATCATACTCACTGTGTTTTAATTTCACAAATTTGTGAAGGAAACAATGAGTTTTATTCAGTTATCAATGAAAAGAGCGAAATTAAAAACCAGCGAATAATTAGTACATTTACAGTTCTGTTCATAACACAGAATATGGGTAAAATTTCCAGACAAATACTTGTGATGAATGTACACTTATTATTTCATTAGAAAATTTATTGTACAGTAGAAAGTTAATTATTTATTTATTCAATTATTATAGAAATATACAAATGCAAGAAATGTCCATTAATGCCATGTACGTAAATCACTATATGTGCATCTAAAAACAACTCCCAAGAAACTTTTCAAATTGACATTTTCAAACAATTCTAAATCCTAGCACGATATCGATAGATCAAAAATGTGTTTGTGTTATCTGTATAACTACTCTGTGTAATCTACAAGAACTTCCTGCTGATAACAAGAGATTTAAATTTAATTTGTTGTTATCACAGTTGTCATATTTGGATGCCAAAGTCAACTTTCGTTACCTTTCTTCATAACACTTATGAAATTATACATTATAAAAAAATATATAAAAATGAATGTCACTGGGAATATCTGATGAACTTTTGTTTGTGAAATTAACTCAATGCATTTTACTTTTTAAAATAAATTGTTACTGCAATGCTATAACTGATGTGAATGAGCACCTGAAGCAATCTTCAACCTGCACCCACCTCTTTCCTCCCAGCACTAACCATGCACATATACCTTCCATCCTCAGTAATCAACATGTCAAGGTTTGAACTGATTAAAAAAATAAATACAAATTTCATCTACTTAGTTTCTGAAATTTCTGCATCAAAAGTGTTAGGATGCAGTCATCCTTAAATTGTACAGGGTTGTTGTTTTTTTGATAAATTAAACTACACAAATTGAGAGATGATTGTAATGCAATGAACCAGATAACCTCATCCCAGACAGGCTTGTCTGAGATTCCACCACAATTCAGTGTTGTGTCAATATGCAGATGTGTGCAGACATTGAACATGCAATTCAATCCTTACAGCCACTCTCGGGATATAAAATACAACAACATGAACATGGGTTTAATGATCAGTGATGGCACAGGCATTCAAGGAGCATTCAAAGTACTTTAATAAAGTTAACACTCATTGGCTAATCAAATCTTGATTTAGGCCAATCACACCTTGTAGGATATTCACTCTCTCAATAAATTACTTCCCATTAGGTAATCAAATAATAACACAATTTGTATGTCACTGCACAATTTTTGGGATATTCAAACATTCAATAAGTGTACCAGACATTCATTGGCTAATAATATGTAGCCAATCAGGGCACACTTTTTATAATATTCAGTCATTCAATAAGTGTACCAGACATTCATTGGCTAATAATATGTAGCCAATCAGGGAACACTTTTTATAATATTCAGTCATTCAATAAGTGTACCAGACATTCATTGGCTAATAATATGTAGCCAATCAGGGCACACTTTTTATAATATTCAGTCATTCAACAAGTGTACCAGACATTCATTGGCTAATAATATGTAGCCAATCAGGGCACACTTTTTATAATATTCAGTCATTCAATAAGTGTACCACTCATTCATTGGCTATTAATATCAAAGCAATCAGGGCACACTTTTTATAATATTCAGTCATTCAATAAGTGTACCACTCATTCATTGGCTATTAATATCAAAGCTATCAGGGCACACTTTTTATAATATTCAGTCATTCAATAAGTGTACCACTCATTCATTGGCTATTAATATCAAAGCTATCAGGGCACACTTTTTATAATATTCAGTCATTCAATAAGTGTACCAGACATTCATTGGCTAATAATATCTAGCCAATCAGGGCACACTTTTTATAATATTCAGTCATTCAATAAGTGTACCAGACATTCATTGGCTAATAATATCTAGCCAATCAGGGCACACTTTTTATAATATTCACTTATTCAATAAGTGTACCATTCATTCATTGGCTAATAGTATCTA